TGTCCTCAACGTGTAATCTTATCCCCAAAGATTAAACTACTGCTTCTCATGTTCGAGAGAAAACCCCGAATTCCATGCTCCTGCGTCCTTTCGGCAAGCTTTTGCAGATGAAGTTGGCTGTTTGATGGAATGACTAGCGAAAACCGCCAATAACTTCACTCCTTTTCGCTCCTTTTCCGTTTGGATTTTTGGGTCCACATGTTCTGTAGCTATGTTTTGTGACCCAGTTCCATGTTCTGGCTAATCAAACCCAGTTTTTGAATGAAGTTAACTCCAGTGCACAAAATTCGAGTGTGCGTAAGAATTAATGGCATTCCAAGTTTTCGATGTTCTTTAATACTTGTGACTTTTTAGTCCCACGATACAGTCGGACAGCCAGGGATTCCATACACAAATACCCGTAGCCAATCGACATGACCGGACACTGTACAAAACGTAAATGCTGATACGACTAACCTCATGTGCTCGCCTAGGCGATCTCTGAAGGTCGGTTTGTTCATGCTTTTGTGTGGGGTCTTTGCAGTCTATCTACACAAGGCGAAAATCAAACCTATGTTAACCAAAGATTCGTTGAAGCACGCGTGCGACTCATGATTAAATCAAACTGGCAGTGTTGCATTCATTCTCTTTGTTTGTGTTTCTGCACACCGCTGCTTACAAGCATCTATCTCCCTCTTCCCCTCCTCTTTCAATCATCTGACTACACACAGACTGTCAACCGTCTTTGCCCAGTTACGTTACTCTGGAAACTGAAATTCGACGAATTTCGTCAGTTTGTGAACTCAGTTCTGAAACGATTCAATGAACCCCCAGAGGCTCGATTCCAATGCACTTTCGCCAGGTTGGACGATCCAACATGCGAATCACAACTGTCTTTCAATCGACGAATCTCGGTGAGCGTTTGATTGGCGCTGTACAGCGTTTTGCTTATCGTCTGTGATTAAATTATAGTGACGAACCTTTACTTCGCTCGCACGCGCACCTCCATCCCTCCTAAAACTTTTTATCTACTTTGGTTTTGAATAGTCAGAATCACTTTTGGGAGTCGTGAGTTAATTCGTCGAATAATGTATATCAGTGTTATTCAACAACGTCCCAACGAACCATTCAGTGTGCCTACCGTTCATGTGCAATATTCATTATCCAAGGTCTACACCGAGTTTCATCCTTCCATTTATCCGTGTTTCTCCTGAGGAACTTCCCGGTATCTCGTACTTGGATTCCGCTTGTCATTGAAAATATTCAGCTTCATGGGGTAAACATCGAATTGAAAATACCGTCATTTTCATGTGTCCTATCGCATAAACCCAGAGTATAGTGTTTGTGATCGATCAACTAACTGGCTCTTGGCTGAGTAGGAACTGTGTTCGTTGAGACACGTGCCTCCAGTGAACTTTGGTGGTGTTGCATTTTTGCTTTGTCTACTGTGTGTGTGGTGGAGGATAGGGTGGATGCGAAAAACCTGTTCATGGGTTGGCTCCCAATTGATCGTTCTCGAAGAACGATCAACTTTGTTCTTTTATTCAATGCTCTCGGTATTGTTTATTTTGTTTGGTTTATGCTGACTTCGATCTAATTGGGATTGTTTTCCTGAATAAGTTTATAAAATAATCGGTGTTAAGTAACTTTGCGTGAAATTTAGCCGATAGAACGAAAACGCCGCATCCATGTCAACCTCAACACAGAATCACTACTACAGCCCTCCTGAAACCGCCACTTTAGATCGATCAGGATAAGGAATTTCTTCGTCAGAAATGGAAAAAGTTGGATTGCCTTCACTCTCCTGTTTGTTTGGACTCGACAAAGTGATATCTTGTCCACGTTGTTTCCTTAATGATGACTAACGGTTTAGGCGAAAAAGGTGATCATTCCCGTTCTGCGTTTAATCCTAACCCGAGACTTCGAGTGATGAGAGAAGATCCTGTACCATCACCCCCTTCTGCGTTACCCACTCTACATTTGGGCACTAACATATGCAACTATCAGCTACGTCGAATTCAAATTTTTATTATGGGTAAATTACAAAGCTGATGCTTATTGAATCCCATGGGGTCTGTACACACTGGGTTCGGTTGGTAGTACAATTGAATAGTAAATTCCGACGTTCATTCACGGGTACTGAAAAGTTAGGTGGTTCAATGCTTCATCCATTCATGACTTGGATGAATCGGTTGTTGGTGCACAAACAACTTGAGGTGGTAGAGAGTTCCAGGTGTTACAAACTCTGAGGCTGAAAGAATGATGCCTGCAGTCTAGCCGGCTCTTTTGGAGCAGAACTTCAAACGGATGTCCTCCGAGGTGACCATTCTTGGATAGTGTTAGTAGAGTACTACACGGGTGGTCAGGTTGATGTAGTATTTGATCAACGAGGATCATGTCTCCCCATATTCGACAGTATTCAGACGAAGAGTCCGAGAATTCGCAGCCTTTCACCGTAGGTCTTAGATTGTAACCCTTTGCCCATTTTGGTTGTTGTTCTCTCCGGACGTTCAAGTGCCTTTTGGTCACGAGTCAGCCATGGATTCTTTACAGATACGGCACCAAAATAACCATGGGTTAACGAAGAAAATAGGTACAAAAGCGAGGAAAATAAAAGTCAATTTGGGAGGTACGAAGGGGCGAATTATTTTTGTTTTCTCAATGGGCAATCACGTTTCCGTCTTTTTAACATCACCGAACACACCTCATAGTTGGCATCCACGTGTTGGCTTCATTAAGAATTTAATACAGAGTCATTAGAGGTTCGTTACATCGTGTGCCTGATTATTTAAATGGCACCTGGTCCTTTACTTACACTCACATTACTATCCTGTCAAATCAGTCCATATGTCGCGAAATTTAACAGTCCGGTCGTAAAATGTAGACCTTGCTCTGTCCCGGCATCAAGGTCTGGTTGATTGCAGTGATCAGTGATCCGATTCTGAGAGGTAGGTTTGGGCGGGGTCCGGAGTAGACTGATATGGCCATGCAGCTTTCGATGTCTCACTGAAGTCGGTAAATTCGCACTTCGGGGCATAAACGATCCTCGAATATGTATGCAAAAGGTTAGATCGGTCTGACAGCCGCTGCCGGTCCGACACTGTTCATAAGATATGGTCAACGACACATGTTTACTAATCATCATTTCATATAATCTGAGCCATTTGTCGTTCTTGGTTGAATATGGCTGACGCGAACCAGCGAGCAAATATATTATGTATTTTGTCATCTGGCTTAAAACCATAAAGTATTAGGCCAGTTTTATCGTTAGTAGACCTGAAAACTGATAACCGTAATCTTGAGATTCGGGATACGGTGTTGAGGGTATGATGTTGAATAAACATCACTGTCAATTTGTTCCATTGTGATTGATCTCGCATTGGAATCACATTCCAATCTAAAATCCCGTTTGTTACACAATTTCTCTCTCATTTTGCAATTGATACTGCCGATTGGACCATCTCAGTCCCGATAACAAGGGTCAGAATATGGATGCTTTTTCAATTGATCTGCTACAGAAAGTTGTTCAAATCTTCCCATAACTAAGCAACGCGTTCGCTGAAGGACTCACCCATACGCAGAGATGGAGAAAGTGCATGGAATGAAAATTGGATCGTATCTTCCTGATCTCTTCCCGGTCAGTTAAAGGAAAATATCAAATAAAACTGCGTCGTCAGAACCCCTGGATGCATCAATCGACTGCAAACAAATCACCAAAATAAATGTGTTGATTAAATCCTGTTGGCATTACATTGGTGAACAAACTTACCATATCAAAGAGAAATCTTTATTTGTTCTAGGCAACAGTTTTAAGATTAAGCAATTGTATAGTTTGAAGGATGTAACGTTATTTATAATTGTCATATTAGAAACTATTGTATTACATATGGTTGCTTCTTTGGTTTAGGCTTTGATCTTTCGCAACTGGCAAATAACACAGTTTATTCACCTCATGTTTTGCCCTTTACTCATGTAGCCTATTCGTCAACCGGTTGGCGAGAAGCCCCCTTCCTTATCCGGATTCCTGGCTCGAAGTCGCAAAGAACGAGGCTCGTCCTAACCCTGTCCGTTTTCACTATATCCACCCAGTTAGCTTCTCTTATGTCGCCTTTTATTTCACAACTTAACTTCATTCCATTATATATTTCTTGGGTCTACCGTCGGTACTGCAAGACGAACTGATCCGGGATCGCCCCTTCCTCCCCCAGCTCACTTACAAATTTTTTGCCTCTACCATCTGCCTTTTGTCCAGTTTTCATACATTTCCAGTCAGAAAGGCATATCATTTTATCAGTACGAATCACTAAACTGTTTTGTCCTCTTTTATGAGAACAGCTAATGATCTTTCGCCCGTAATTTTGTCCTCTGTGATATCCATGTCCCGTCGAGGTACGTTTCAACAAACTATTTGTTGATGTGTTTCAGTTTCTATTGGGGCTGTTTTGGGGCCAGCCGAGGATCCCGACTCTTTCCACCATGAATTTTCTCCACTGTGTATGTTCACACATTTGTGGAGGGACCTTTTTCTATTTTACCACAAGCCTACTATTTCATTGAAAACAGGTAACAATTCGACCTGATAGTTTTGTTGTTTTGCACGTTTTATTGTCCATCAATTTTGGGCATTTATTCAAATTGATTGAATGAATTTTTCGTTTGCGTCCATTTGGTCAAACAAACTGCAATATTATTCTGTTGTCCACTCACCCTCTGTCGTTTTTTCGCGCACGCACATATGCCTAGAAAACCATTGGAATCAACTAATATATTTGTGGAAAATTGTACAACTCTTTTTCAATCGAATTTCGAAATTTTACATTTGGATTGAGTCGTTCGTTTCCTAGAAGGAAATTAAAGTTGAGTGTGAAAGGAGAGGTGAAGTAGACGTATGTCAATTGCCGAGGGATAAAGTTATCAGTTGATAATTTCGAAACTTATCACCGAACTCAAAATAAATGTGGGGCCTGAAAAGCAAAATCACAATACGCCGGGTGATAGATTCAACACGACCCGGATGCATTTTAGATACAGTCAAAGCGGAACGTGGTTCGTTGAACGTAAGCCGCACCCCCGGATTGTAGTATCACTGCCGGAAAATCAGGTTGATTGCATGCGTCTGGATAACCTTCCGTTTCTAAGCAAAACCCAGAATAAGGCATGTAACGATGTCCCTCTTTGCCGATTGGGTCAGTTTTTGGATTCAAGTAGAAGGCTGTGTAAAGTTGCATACCCGGCTGATCAGTATAGACTCGCATACGGCGATGCGATTCCGGCTCGTTCACGATGACTGCTGGTTCCGATGGACTTCGATCTTGATCGAATACGTAATAATCATCGTAACCGGTTCCATCCGGACCACCAACAATGCTCAATCCTGAACCCAGAGCACGCGGTTCACGGAAATCTAACGGGCTACCTGCTGGTATGGGTAAAATACGTCCGGTAGGAATAAGATCCTTTGGTCTTAGTTCCGCATATCGACTAGCCCGGATTTGGAGATAATGTCTAGCCAGCCCCTCTCGACCCGTTGTGTGTCCCGCCAAATTCCAGTAGGCGTGATTGGTGAGGCTTACCGGACAGAAAACGCGGTTTGGCGAATTATTTGATAAAGAAGCATGATAGGTGATGCTTAATTCCAAAACATCTTGTTCGTTGCTGGTCTCACGGAACTCGTATTCGACTTGCACGGTCAGTTTGCCAGGGAATCCGTCAGCTCCATCCGGAGATATATGTTCCAACAGGACTGAATGACGATCAGCACGACGGACGGTCCATACCACATATGATAAGCCTTCCCTATAATTAGAGGTGGGAAAATTACAAAGTGCCGAGAGAAAGCAAAAAATATAAACTAATTAGTCAGTGGTTTGCCAAACGCTACTCCCTCCCTCAGAAATCACGTAGGTCATTTCGTGACATCAATCTAGAATTATTTCATGCAACGGAAACGAAGTATACAGCATCGTGTGTGTGAATTTAACTCATCGATGATAATTGCTTCAAAGTTGTAATAACCGGATTTATGAAGAGCGAGAATCAAATTTCTAAATTAACTCTCTCCGTAACCTAATTTGGCAAGTAACTGATGGTAACCGTTAAAAAATCAACACTCTGAACGACGAAAATAACCAATGATTTGAGATAAATCGTTTGCATTCTGTTCATCGCATTCGCACGCTCTGTCGATCTATCAAATTTCTGGTTCATCTGGAAATAATTCTCGAGTCGGTTGATCACGAAATACCATTCATTCTCTTTGGACGGTGGGCTTTTGAATAATTCCATTCGACTTTTCACATACACTATGCACTGTTAATGATTTTTGGTGATGGTTTCACTCCTTGGGATATCGTGAAGTCCCCGCCATTTAACTGCACTCACAATATTTGTAATGACTGAAAAAGATTGCTGGACAGCTGCTTCGTCTTGTTTGGGACGGTGAATGTTTGGATTAGCCCATTCGGTTTTTCGCAACGGTGATTATCTGGGGTGTCTCAAGGAGTGAAGTACACACCCAAGATTATTATCGAATGGGCTAATCCAAACATTCACCTGTTTAAATTGATTGAGCCATTCGCACAAGATGATGACTGTCAGCCGTAATACTCGGGGGAAATGGTCTTTAAGAAGAGACAGTTCAGACGCATCTTACTCAGTTGAGATCAACAACTTTCCACATTTACTTCAACTACCTGTGCAAAAGAATGAATAGTTTGGTCAGATTCATCGAGTGATGTGCGGCAAACGTGTCTTTTTCATTTATCTAATCATAGTAAATCCTAGATGTTCTGGAATTTTTCGCGGTTGCTGTAACTTTTATTTTCACTACCGATGTCGGATATATCATACATAAACTCAGGGCGGATTTTGTCCACCTGATATAAAGTATATACAGTTTTCCACCTCACACAAACGTCGCATTAAAGCTAACAAAGTTTAGATTCAGTGTACTGCGATTAAGGCTTAAAAATACATCTGGTCACCTTCTCTCCTGTCTTTCCGCTTTTCGTAGAAGAAGTATTGCGAGATATAGACCACAAAGCCTAAACGTATGAAACAATAAGGTACTGCACCCGTGATCCTGGATTCACTGGTCGGAAAACCTTAATGCTGGATTATAGGATAAATGACCATAGAATCTTCATTATTAGAAATCATTCCACTTCAATTAGATGAAACCTCGATTTTAATCCGTGAACTCTCGGTTTGTTCAGTCAAATTGATGCGGTATTTAAACCGTTAACGTAGCCTCAAGCAAGGTCTTTTCAGGGTTTTTCTTATCAAGGAAACTTTTTCAAGTTTGGTCTCCACGTGTTCGTCGATACTGTTAACACCGAACGTCTCAAGGCAGCATATGTCGAAGCAGACATTGTGCACTCCAGTACGAAACCTAACGTCATCTATGCGCTGTCGATGGATGAGAAAAGCAGCACTACTGGATACTATTTGCGATGCACATAGAACGCTGGAGAGTATTGTACATGATTTTAACACTGTTTATGAGCATCGTCAAAGCATGTCCACTGACTTCGTTGCCCATCGAACCTTGGGACTACACAGGCAGAACTCAAATGTACGAAATACACGATTGCGGAAACTTTCGTTGTCCACCAATTGCTGGACGAAATTGCGAAACTAAGCTTATGCCACTGTTATGTTCACGATGTATCTATTACTTGGCACTAAAGAAAACGGAAAGGAACTATTTGAACGCTTGAGTAATCTTCACTCGAATATAACATCAAAATACCACAAGAAAATTGGCATTCCCAACTACATAAAAAGCTAGTGGCACATCGGTCTGATGCGGCTTTGGTAGCAAATATGTTTGGTGAATAATGATTGTCATGATACTTCTCAGTCTATGATTGTGTACTTTCTGGATTTATGATAATGTTCACATAAACTGCGGTATGCTCGCTCACAGGTCTAGCGAAATTATCCAGGATAAATTGTGAAAATCTATATTTTCGGCTTCTCCATTTGAATTCCTCGCGGGAAAAGCATACTTCTGACTACTTTTACTGAAATTCTGAGTGGTTGAAAATAAGCATTCAACACTACCAAGGATCATTGCTAGGAAGCTCATCTGTGATAGTCGTAAACTCCTAACTGGAGAACTGTACCATTCCTCGACTGGGAGTTCCGATCACCCGGGGAGTGTGAATGGTGTCCAAACAGCGTAGGATTCGTCTCAAGAATCGCTGGCTTCAAATGAACTTTGTTTTATCGATAGCTCCCTGCTGCTTAGCTAGTTATTCATTGCCAAAGATTCTGGTTGTTACTTGTAACGGAAATCACCGCCGAACAATCTGACCGTATTGTAACATCACAAAACGTTCATCACTTATTTTAATTTGTTTGTAATTTCAACCAATTCTATAAACTTATATGAGCAAAATATGGCGTTGCCGTTGAAAATTCCCTCACTTGGGTGCATAAAACTGCCACTGGGTATACTTGAATCACCTACTAATCCTCAGCTCCTAAAGATACCTCCAATACGCTTTGCTTTGCCGACAGTCAAGAGATATATAATATTCACAATAAACAGACAAATTCACACGGAAAATCATGAGAAACCAATGTTAAATTTGGCGTTGAATTTGTTGAATTTGAAGTTAGCTTTGTTTTAACGTGAAATTTTATTCAGAGTATACATAAATGCTTTTCTGTTTTTCTCCCAAACTAAATATCAGTTTTTCCTAATATTATGTTGTTTTCAGTTCTAGTATTGTTCGCACTTCTATACCTGCAAAACAAACAAAGATCCATGCTTTTTTCACTGGAGGAACATCAGAAACTGACGGTAATCAATTTTGAATGTCAACATTGTACATGTTTATGTAATAAGTATTATTATTTGCTAAATGTTGTGACTCTAGTCAGGTCAAGAAAAGCTTTATGCACCCAAAAGGTGAATTTTCAGCAGTTTACGAGTTTTACAGTGGATAAGTAAAATAATTGTAAACAACAAAGTACAGTATGAGAAATTCTACACTTTAATAAATGAGAGAAAAATTAGGGCAAGAGTTTTTCCCTGAGGTAAGTGAGGATATGCTGACGATTTACTAGTAAACGAGCTAGGTAAGGAATTACACTATTGCGATATGTGGAAGTCCGTGCAGGAAGGAGTTGATATTTGGAGCGTGTCCGGGGAATCCACAGGGCTTCGCGATATCTTGGTGCAGACAGTGCCCTTGATCATGCGTTATCCTGTCAGTGAATGTATCACAAGCGTCAAGATTCTTGGAAATAAAGAAATCAACTAAAACAGTTTTATCAACTCCACTGTAGCGGGACAAAGTTTAAGAGATCTTGAAAACAAAGTCATATACGATCACTTCAGTAAATAGGAAAACGATTTTTATGAAACTCACTTTCCTCCATGCAGACAATGATCATTCTGAAAATTTTGTGTCACCTGAATATACTTATCGGAACCAGGGGGATTGAACCGTCCTTTTTGTATACGTCCAGCGACACGACCCACAATCACTCCAAAGTATGGTGGGTTATGCTCATAATCTTTTACTGTTTCATAACCCAAAAGCACATCCGATAGATATTTGTCTGTTTCGGAGGCTCCGCCCGGTATGGTGCACGACACTAGAGCTGCACCCAAGGTACATATTTTTACGTTCGGCCCCTTGTTTGGATTGCATGAGTTCGAAGGATATAAGGTAATCATTTGCACCAATTCACCCCGTGAGTTCGAGCCAAACGGTTCGACCGTTGCGTCCATGTTGATTCTAAAACAGGAATCCATTTTACTTCACCGGTACAGATGGTGACCAAAATGATGTGTTTAGTAATTCGAAGGAAAGGTATTAAATAACCAAAGTATTATGACTAGTATCTTTTTATTCCAGAGCTTATTTTTGAAGGGTTTTACTTATGGTACCAAGTGTGCAATGAACCATTTTAAACATATCACTCTATTCCTGTTTAGTGTTGAAGTAGAAGTTTTCAGGATAAAGTTGCACGATAGCCATTTAAAGTGAGAGGACAGTTAAGTTAAACACAAATCCGGTGATTCAAATTTGAAGGAATAATAGCCCTCAAGGATTAGATGGTACATGTTCGGTAAGTATGAACAGTGGATATACTATTGAAATAAGGAAGCTGTAATCTGGTTTCAAAATATACAGCAGGTTCTTCGTAGTTGGAATCAGTTTGTGTTAAATTTTATTAACCTAATTGATGAGTAAATGGAAATGAAAAAGGAAGATTTAAGAGTGAACATATTCTTCTTGGTTCAATGATATATATGATGCGTGAATGAACCATTTAATTTGATCTGCTTCCAGAACGCATGGACGTGGGTCAAAATGAGCAACAATCTCATCAAAAACTTCTAAGCAAAGACCAGCTCAAATGTTTTAGAAAACAACTTCAACGATTCCAAAATGGTGTATTTCAGCTCATTATTGTTGCAGTTAAACTGCTAGTCCACATTTTTGTGACATCAATAATGTATTTCTAGTCAGTATTCATTATTGGTTCAACAATCTCTATCAGAATAATGTCATTGCACTTACGGCGTTACAAAAGATTTTAGCAATATTATTAACACGATTGAGTTAGAAAAACAGCTGCGTCTGTGAAAACTGAAATAATAAGACTGATACTGGACCGGCGGTAATCTATTTCAAAACGTTCGCACGAGAAGTTAAGTGTAACCGAATTATAAAATAATTAGAATATCATTTCCGTTGAAGCGATTCAATTGATAGATGCAAACAAAAAGAGTCGAGCAACTAACGTTTTTGTGCGATGAAATACTGAAACAATAAACCGGAATGGTTAGCAGTATTCAATGTATTCAAAGGGATAGCTTTCCATTAGTCATTACCGTACAGGTGAAAGCAGTGCTCTTAACTGCGATTGTATTTTTGCAAGGCCAAACAAATATATGAGCTACCGTAAAGAGCAGGAGGACTATCTTTTGTAACCTGCGAACGAAGATGTTTTGGCTGTAATTGTTTTCTATTACTTAAAATCAGCAAAGGCTCTAAGAAAACTTTACGTGAATTTGAACAGAGCACAGTATAGTCGGTTTTAGTTGAGAATAAATAATGGAAGTATCTTCTCAAAGGTATTGATGGATTTAAGTACGTAAATACGTTCCTCACTGAGAAAGAAGTAAAGATGCATGAATGAATGAAACTTTCTGGTATAATTTTCAAAAAGGTTCAATTTAGCTTAATCAAACTGACATTTTTAATAACTGGTACTGAAAGGCTTCAGAAATCGTTATAAATATATGAAGGTTCTGAAATATCAATAAAGTGCGTTTGCCCATTACACGTATCAGCTTCTTAAACTACGTACAAATGAACAAAGTCTATTTTGAGGAGTTCTCAATAAACTAATTGTCGCGTAGCATTTGAACCGGTTCTGTAGAAACCACTGATACATAATTCGAATCTCCAGTATATTGGCACCTGAGTAGTTCAATGCCTCCAAAATACTGCTTTCAGAATTTGAAATCTGTCGGAGGTGTCTAAAACTATATGCACTTTCGGAGAATACAGTTTCAGCAAGTTATAATATATGGGTACAAAAACAGGAATGCAGAACAAGAAGGATTGCAAACAAATGTTCGGTAATCAAAAAGCAGAAATGGCAAGCTTTAGTTACACACTATAAAGCAATTGATACCATTCATTTTTCGATGTAGATGTTATTCTTGAGAACGATAAACAAAATAATTTAGCTTTTTGTTCACCAATAGACAATAGACACGAATAAAAATAAAGTTTTCATTTTGTTTTTTTCGAATACTAAACGTATAACAACTGTCTAGAGAAACTAATAATTGAGGAATACATCCATAAATGGTGGCGGTGAGACTCGAAATCGGGACAAGTGGGTCTGTTATTCGCAGCAAAAATGAAGAAACTGGTGGCGTATTAAAAGGCGAAACGTTTGTCACAAATGAGCGTAAATGAACTTGATTCTGAATGGTTTTATGGAATGAGTAGTTTATGTTACAGTTTGTGAACAAACTCGACTTTATGAGGCACCCATATATCAAAACTTATCTGGAGTAGCCGTCATATAGGTATAAAGCATAGGCGGCAACAGATAAACCTATTTTTAACCGCAGTTAAAACCCAGCAATATGGGGGCATGCACGGTAGCTTGGCAAACCCGGAGCTCCATTTTTCTCTTGCATGGTGATTAACGTCTATAACAAGCTCCGTTTGTATGTGGTAGCTGTAGAAACATTTGTCAACTTTAAGCTCTGGCTCGACTATCGTTGTGAAGAAGTGTTCCCGGTTGAGGTCCGTGTTAAGGAGTAACTTCGGATTACTTATTCACCATTTTTCATTCTACTTCATTCCAATGCATCGAACCCCATATTTTAACAATTCATACTTTTCTTATTGTACTGGAACATCCCCAAACTCTTTTGACCCGCCTGAGACCCTGCTGGAGGGATCGACCACGAGACGGAACGTGCGATGTTGGATAAGCAACCGGAACCTGCACAACTCCAAATGACCGATCCTTCTGAAACAGTATTTGGGTTGTTTTTCTTACTCTTTCGCAGACAAAGGTGGTCAAGGAATACAATCCATAAGCTGATAAACCACCGTGGGAAGACGATCACAGCTCACTAGTGCAAGAACCGGACGGTATCTGGCTCAAGACCGCACATTATTGTACCTGACCTGACTTTACCAGAACAGTAACATGAGTACACTCTCGCTTATAATGCACACGTTTTAACGTGTGTTCTTCTATAGAAGAACACTTTATTGCATCAAACGTCTCTGTTAAAATATCCCTTGTTCTAAAAAAAGGTTTATAAGGGAAGCAGAGTCGCAGTTATATGTCCTGCCACCATCTCAGCAAGTGTTGTCTGTAACTGAAATCATGACTTCAGCTGCATCAAACAATCTAAAGCTTATATTTGCACATAGTTTTCGAATTAACGCGGCACAAATTCATGTCGGATCCGAAGGTTCGTGGGTTTGTAAAATTATTAAGTTCAGTTGAAATTAAGTAAACACTTATAACTGCTTTTGATTCAGTTATATTTGAACCATATTTCAGTTAACTGAACTGGTCGGGTCACTTTAAAATAAATGTAATCTAAATAAAAATTATACCATACTGCTTTGAATAATGAGTGGTCATTGTCAATCAGGTTTATTTATAACCGATCTTCCAAGATCTTGACAAATGCCCGAAGGTATCGTGAAAACATATAAGAAGATCAATGCACGCGCCTACAATGACCTTAGGTCAAGGTCCAGTTCAGTTCAGTTTGCACAGGACAGAAAACGGCCACGGCCAATCGAGCGTCCAGAATTCTTTCGGTGCTGTGCGGTCAAGTATGGCATCCACCATTGCGAAAAGTAATCCGTACTTCCTGGCTGAAAAGA